ACATGATCAAAAACCTTAAACTCTACCCATTGTTTTATTAGTAGAATCATATTTTTAATTATTATTTTAAACTTATTGTACTGATATTATTAAACATATGTAATTATGGGGACCCAATTTTTTTAGTGTAAAAATAAATGACTACAAGTATAAAATCAAGGGTCCAGTAAAAATCAGTTACATTTTTTACAGCTTTATTGTCAAATAATTCACACATCATACCATTCAATAGTTCAATCATATTAAAAAGAGTTGTCCAAGCATCATCACAATTAATTTTAGAACATTTTCTTCTTTCTTGTGTTCATTGTTGTTAGCACCCTATTCCCCCAATCTATTCTGCCATACCCCAAGAAATCCTTAATCTAGTTATAGTCTCTATAGATTTTAACTATCCTAGATTTCATATACAGCGAAACATACCCCCAAACTCAACAAAAACAAGAACAAAAGTAACCGAGTGAAACAGAGTAAAACCCCAATGGAAAATAAAACAGAAAATATTTAAAACTAGGACACATTTAAAATGGGTCAGAAGGGAGCGTCACATTTTAACCTAACTGCATCTGCCCTCAGCCACTTTTCAATGCTCTCTGCACAACACATCCCTCGTCATGGTCAGTGGTTACATTTTAATTGAATATATATATATATATGAGGGTTTCAAAGGGCTCATGGGAAAGATGTAATTGAAACAAAATGGAATTTTCCCACGAGCTTTTTGAAGCCCCCTGTCCCTCCCCAGGGGACAGAGCAGTTAGCAAAGCAGTGTAGATGGTGTGTGTTACTTGTGTGAAAACACTGTAGCTTATGGTCAGAATAGCACTTACTTCATGGGGGCATGACTAGCATTTAGTGGTGTTGTTGTCCCTCTCATTGGGTGCTGATTCCTACCCCATTCTCAAAAGGCAGGACAGTGAATTTGCACCTGGTAACAAAACAGCCCCACTGTCCCCAAGTCTGTGTTAGTCGGGAGGTGGCTGTGGGCAAGGCTGCTGCTTGATTCCCCACAGGGTGCCCAGTGCAGGGTTAAAGGGTACCTGGCACCCAAAACCAAACTTACTGCCACCGAGTTGATGCCCCTCATAGCAAACCAATGGGACAGGGTAGAACTGCCTCTGGGAATTTCTGAGAATGCACCTCTCTTTTTTTTTAATTAAAGTATTTTATTGGGGGCTTGTTCTACTCTTATCACAACCCACACATGCATCCATTGTGTCAAGCACTTTTGTACATTTGTTTCCCTCATCATTCTCACACACACACAAAATGCACCTCTTTATGGGAATAGAAAACCTCATCTTTCTCCCTGGGAGTTGGCAGGTGCTTTCAAACTGCTGACCTTGTGGTTAGCCAGGCGCATCAAATGAGAGTCAGCACCTGCTGAACTGGACCCCAGTCCAGGGTGGAAGTTTTGAAAGAGACTATTTTCAAATGAAGTGGTGAGTGCCAAGCAACAGCTTTGTGTGCCCTGAGACACTGGTCACTATCAGTCTGGGGCCACGGTCACGCTGTGCCTCTCAGCGCCCACAGGAGGGCCTCTGAGCTGCCAGACTAACTCTTCTCAGGGAAAACGGCCACACTTTGGATTCCAGGAAAGCTGCGCCCTCGCCCCTGGGAAAGAAGATGCCTAGGGTGGTTTGTGGACCTGGCCATCTGGGCATCTTCATGGGAGAGGGCAGATATTTGGGCAAAAGAAATTAAGACATGATTCATTGCATTGTGCAGTTGTGCGCTTTGGGAATGACAACGGGGGTTCGTTTCGTACCGTGGTCCTGGAGGGTGCCAGGGGTGAATGCCGACGGGAAGGTAGCTCACGCATAGGAGGGGCGTGAGCGGAGCCTGCACTGCGGTAGGCTGGCACGGCGGTGGTTTCTCTGCAGAGTTCCCTGCGCTGGTGGACAGTCTCAGGGTCTCTGAAGAGGCGGGGCTTGTAGCCCGGTTAGGCGGGGCCCTTGGAGGACCATAGGGTCAATTCCGACTCAGAGGGACCCTGTAGGGCAGGGTAGAACTGCCCCGGTGTGTTTTGTAGACTGTAATGCTTCGAACTGCTGACCTTGCAGTTAGCCGCCAACGCATAACCCACTACACCTCCAGGGAAAGATGCTAATTGCTAGAAACATCACTAAAGCCATCGCCCCCCCATCCTACCCCATCCTGTCTCCCCTCCCCAAGGGGGAGTGGTGGACAGCAGTGCGCCCGCCCGGGTGCCTGCAAGTCCGTGGAGTCGAAGGCAGGTGGCGTCCAAGGATGGTTCATGGACGCCCCTGGCTGAAGTTTCCTTGCCCACTGAGCCCGGTCCACCAAACCCGGAATGGAGACACCTGGCAGCCGCGGGGAGGGGAAGGAGACCAGGCACCTGGTTCAGGCACGTCATGGTCCAGAAGAAGGAGTTCGAAGGACCCGTGGACCTGGGTATGCCCCCGAGACGGTGGGAGACAGGGGGCCCAAGGGGGCGGAGCTTGCATCTAAGGAGGTGGAGTCTATGGTGGGCGGGGCCATGTGATCACAAGAGGCGAGGCCTCAAGGGAGAGGTTGAACGCCACATTCTCGGTGTGGGCGGTCCCTGTGCGCACGGCTCCGTGCTGGGACTCTGGTAGGCGGAGCGTAAGGGGCCTTCGTGGGCGGGGTTTGTAGGGATTCTTCAAGTGGGCGGGGCCTGTGGCTTAATGTGGGTGGGGCCATGACTCAGGGAAGGGAACGCGGGTTGGGTTTACGTGGACGGAGCTCCTCCCCTGACGCGTCGGGTCTGGGCTGCGGTTTGGGGAGCTCGGGGGCGGGGCCTGCGGAGGGGCGTGAGCGGAGCCTGCACTGCGGTAGGCTGGCACGGCGGTGGTTTCTCTGCAGAGTTCCCTGCGCTGGTGGACAGTCTCAGGGTCTCTGAAGAGGCGGGGCTTGTAGCCCGGTTAGGCGGGGCCCTTGGAGGACTCTGGGCAGAGTGTGCGCCCCCAGGAGCCAATCTCTGCGGCGGCTGCACGGCGGAGGGGCTGATAGCACTGGCGGGCGGTGCCAAAGGGCGCAGGCCTCAGGCTGGGCGGAGCTGATGGCCCCAGGGGGCGGGGCAATCGTTCGGCGGGAATTCTCAGCTGGTAGGGGCGACTCTTTTGACAGCAGCCGGTGGGCGTGGCTCCGTTCCGAAGGCGGGGCTGATAACTCTGGAGTGTGTCAGGACCACGCCGCGATGGGCGGGGCCTGCGGAGCAGGGGCGGACCCGGGCTCACGCAGTCGCGGCGTGGGGGGTGGGGGACTTGTTCTGCCCTGGGAGGCAGTGTGTTTAGACCCGCAAGCAGCTCCGCATCTGGTGCTCATTACAAGATGACAAAGAGCGGCTCCAGGCCCCCTTCCCCACTCCCATCCTCCCCTCCAGTGGCCATGCATTAACTCCTTCCTGCCCTCGGGAGGTCCTGGATCCCTGGCTTGGGGTGGCGGCAGGGAATGATTCCCGTCCAGGCCGACTTTGTCACCCATTCCTCAATGCTGCGCAACTCCTTCCAGGACCCTGGCATCTGGGCTGCCTCCGGATCCTCACTCCCTGTTAGCAAACCTCCCTGGCGGCGCCTCCGAGGTTAAGGGCTTGGGCAGAGCTGGTCGAGGCGTCTGGTTTGAGTTAGGGAACGTGAGAGCTGGGGGCCTGGGCGGGGGGGGGGCGGTGCGCAGCGCTCCCTCCGCCCTCGTCCGCGGCCCCCTGGTTCTTCGGCAGCGCCGGCCCCTCCTCTCCTGGTCTCTTGAGGCCCAGCCCAAACCTTCCAGTCCCAGCCTGGCTCCTAAGGCCAGAGGGTGACTCTGGGAAGGCAAGGGGGTGCCCCTCCTCGCCAGTCCGGGTGGTCGTGACGGCCCTGCCCCGTCTTAATTAGAGGCCCAGAGAGACTGCAACTGAAAAATTACAGGGGTGGCAGGAACCAGCGCCTCCCCCGCCCCGGTCTGCCTCGATTCCCAAGACTGTGCGTCCGGGCTGGGGAGGGAAGCTGCCGGGTCCCCCCAGGCTGGCTCTTTGAGCACCCCCTCCTCTTCCAGTTCTCTGGACACCTCAGCCCGGAGCAGCCTGAACTCTGACTCAGCTGAGGTCTCCCAGGCTCTCTCTATCCCCCGCCACTTCCAGCACACCCCGAGGAGAGCAAAGTGTGCCCCAGAGGGGAGGTGGAGGTGGGTGCCCACACTAGGGCATTTATTCTGGGTTCTCTGCTCCCTGCACCCCACCCCTTTTCAGGAGCAGGAGGTGGAGGCTTCCAGGTTCCCATGGGGCATAGCCACATCCTCCGTGTCTGAATCCCTGCCTCCACTACCGGGCATCTGCAGAGATGGGGAGACAGGTCCCAGAAGCCACTATGGCCCCTCATGCCCCCATCATCCCCAGGTCCAGAGCCCGTCTTTGGCCTCTAAACCCCAGTTTGACTGCAGGCCCTTATTCCAGAACCTCCCCCAGATTTATCTCCACCTTTTGGGGGGTCTGGTAAAATTTTTAAAAAGAAGAGATACTGGATTGTGCCCATGCCAAAACTGCCCCTGGGCTCACAACGTGACCTTGGGCAACACTATGCAGCTGGCTTCTATTCTCCCAAGAATCTCTGAAGCATTCCGTCCCCTAAAGGGTCTTACCTTCCCTCCTTAGGGACCAGCCACACGCCTTCCTCAGTCCCTTCCCTCGGGCATCATTGGGGCCAGGAGCTTTGGGTGAGGTTCGCACCCCATTTATTGGAGAAGACCCATCACCCACCCCCTGAGGTCTTGGGGCCTTAGCCTCTCTTCTTTCGCGAGCAAGGGGCCGGGAGCAGAGCTCCTTGGAATCAAGTTCTTGCTGATGGAGAGCAACGTGTGGCTGGGCGGGGTGAGCAGGCAGCCCTCTGTCCGGCTGGGTGGCCCCCATGGGTCCCTGGTGCAGCCTCAGCCATGTGTTCAGAGCATACTCTTCCTCCAGCCCTGCAGAGGGTGGCTGTACCCCATCACACGCTGGTTCTGCAGGTCGGCACCCCTGGGAGACTGCCCCGGGGGGGCATGGGTTCCGTTGAGTTCTTGACCCCGGCATGGGTGACCCAGCGGTAGCAGTCAGTGACACGCTTGTTAGGTGCATGGGCACCACAGCGGGTGCAGTACACAATGCCCAGTGCAAGTAGGACCACGGAGAAGACACACGTTGGCACCAGCAGGGCCACCAACAGCCACCGGTCATCCCTTAGGTTGTGACCGGCCAGACTGGCCTCCTCCAGGTCTGTAGGAGCTGCTGTGGGCAGCTGGAAGGCCAGCTTGGGGTCAGAGGTACCTTCTCTTGGGATATGGTGGGCTTTGGAATGGGGGTGTGACGGGCTAGTGGATGAGGTTAGGTTAGTGGAGCTTTGAGGGGGTAGGGAGGTGGAGAGGGCTGGGGGTTGGGTAGCAGCAGACACAGAGGGCACTGGGGGCCTGGGAGTGGTGACCAGAGGGGACTGAGCAGCTGGAGCAACAGCAAGCTGGGTGGTCTGGGCTCTGACCACCAGAAGATCAGGAGTTTGAGGGGGTTGATGGGCACTGGGGGTGATGACCAGAGGGGCCTGGTTATTGGGACTTGGAGGCAAATGTGTAGTGGTCTGGGTTTCAGTGACCTTGCTGTCTTGGGCCACAGGGAATTGGTGGGCAGGAGACAGTTCTGGATGTTTGGCAGAGATAATGGGGTGCTGGGGTGCAGGGGGCTGTGCTGAGTGAGTGGCAGAGCTAATGGGGATCTGGCGGGCAGGGAGCAGATCTGGATAGCTGGCTGAGATTCCAGGGAGTTGGTGGTCAGTGGACAAAGCTGGGTGTATGGTAGGGGTCCTGGGGGGCTGATGGGAAGAAGCCAGGGATGGGCGTGTGGCAGAGCGAATGGGGGGCCGGTGGGCAGGGAGCAGATCTGGATAGCTGGCTGAAATTCCAGGGTATTGGCTATTGGGGGACAAAGCGATTATGGGGGGCTGATGGGAAGACGCCAGGGATGGGCGTGTGGCAGAGAAAATGGGGGGCTGGGGTGCAGGAGCCCATGCTGAATGGGTTGCAGAGCTAATGGGGGTCTGGCGGGCAGGGAGCAGATCTGGATAGCTGGCTGAGATTCCAGGGAATTGGCGGTCAGGAGGCAAAGCTGGGTGCATGGCAGGGATCACAGGGGGCCAGGGGACAGGGGGCCGTGCTTGGCGCGTGGCAGAGATCCTGGGGGGCTGGGGAGCGGAAGGCAGTGCGGGGCGTGTGGCAGAGATCACCAGCGGCTGAGTGACAGGGAGCACAGCAGGGTGGAAGGAGATTCGGGGGGCACTGAGTGGGGGCGTCCAGCTGGGCTCTGGCTGGGGCCTCTGTGGTTCAGGTGCCCCTGGGAAACTGGGTCTGTCATCCGGGTGGAAGCCATTCAGTCCCGTGGGCTCCATCCATGGCATGTCTGGCATGGCGGTCCAGGCCCCATAAAAGGCCTCCCCAGCTTCATCTCTGTTCTCGTCCTCCTCCTCCTCTTCTTCCTCTTCCTCCTCCTCTTCTTCCTCTTCAACTCGCTGTAGCAGCTCCCCACCGACTTCATCCAGCAGCTCCTCCCCAAGCTCTGGAGAAGCCTGGGTTCCCATGGCACCCACAGGGCTGCAGCTGATCCTGTCTACCCCCAGCTGGTGGCCCTCGCTGCAGTAGCACGCGAAGCCCCCTAAGTGGTTGACACACATCTCCTGGCACACCCCTACAGTCAGGCACTCGTCCGTGTCCACGCAGCGGTGTGGGTCATCCTCAGCTGGCCGGTAACCCAGGTAACAGCGGCAGCTGTAGCCCTGTGGCCCTCCCAGCTCACACAGATGCTCGCAAGGGTCCTTGGCACATAGGTCCTCCTCGCAGCTGCGCCCATCGGCTGCCAGCTGGAAGCCCTTAGAGCAGCGGCAGGACAGGCTCCCGTCCTCCTCCTCCACGCACTGGTGCTCACAGCCCCCGTTGTCCCGGGCACAGCCGGTGTTGGCGCACAGCGGCGGACGCTGCGACCAGCCCACACCGCCCTCGGGCCGCTCTACACAGAGCAAGGAGGCGCCGCTGCCTGTCTCGCACTGCACCGAAGCCACGGAGCCGAAGGGCAGCCACTTGAAGGCGGTGGAGACCAGGTGGAAGGGCGTGGTGTAGACGATTGCCTCGGCTTGGCCCGCCTCCTCCTGGAGCGCAGGGCAGGCGTCTTTGAAGCCGAACTGGCACAGGTAACCATCGAGGGCCAGCGTGCACGAGCCCTCCAGCCAGCGGTGCGCGCCGCTCCACTCCAGGGCGACGCAGCGCTGGGCCCGGCAGGGCCCGTTCGAGGGCGGCAAGGCCCAGTTGGTGAAGGCCGTGAGCTGGTCGCCGGTGGTCCACGTGAAGCCGCGCAGGGGTCGCTGCGGTTGGCAATGCCGCGCCAGGCGCTGGAGCCCGATCCACAGCAGCTGGCTGGCGGGGCCCGCGCCCACCAGATTGTGCACTTTCTGCGCCTCCTTGTGAGTCCGCGGCGTGGCCAGGTTGCCCCCCAGCTTGCGGCAGGACTGCCAGGCCGCCAGGAAGCTGCTGCGCTGGGGGAAGAGCGCGTAGCAGCTGCTCCGGTCGCAGGCGGCGCGGGACTCGG